TGATGTCATCGGTGGTGGTCTGGCCTGGTGATAATTCATTATGATTTGTAGCAGTTCTCTTTGGCCCTACAAACCAACGACGAGCAGATATAATCCAATAGGCACCTGCAAGGAATGCTATGCCACCGATGATTACTACAGCATAGTTCATATTATCTTTGGTAACCGGATATTCAGCCGGAAAGAACATGATGATAGATGTGATAAAAAGCCAAACGGCCGAGATAATAGCGATGGGTAGACTGAATCGACCTAAATTGAATTCACCGAGTGGAAAAGTATGTCTGGCTGTTGTACATCGGAAGAAAATAGGCATAAAGTAGGATATTTGATAACCGAGTGTGGCTATGGATAGAATAGCACTGAAAGCAGTCGACGATGCTAATTGAAGTAGGAGAAGAAGACTGTCAATGACGAAAACAAATATCACATTGCCCAATGGAGTTTTTGTCGGTTTGAATATCCAACGTAGATAGAATGATAGTGGAAATACACCATCACGAGCCATAGCAAAGCTAGAGTGAATGAGATGTTATGAACTGAGAAAAGAAAAAAAAACATTCAACTAATGCATACCCAATTCGACTGGTCACTGTCAATGATGACATACCGGCAAAATACAAATTGATAATTAGTAGAATCGTCAATGCAAGTGCACCTTTATGAGGGACAGCAAGCTGATACGTAGCAACGGCAAGATTTTGCGTTGAGTTATCTCCACTATTGCTATCAATAAACGAGCCCACATCCGGAATGGCAAAGAGTAAAGCAAGCAAGTAAGCAAAACCAGTAATAGCACTGCATATACAGGTGCCTACGATTCCTTTTGGAGCTTGAAAACAAGAAGAATCGATCATTTTACTGACAATCATTGTAAAAGCTTAATTTCTTTCGAATATTTACTCACCTGCTCGGCTTGCACCTCTAGTTTCTTCAGCCAAATGGGCGCCGGCTTGAAAATTCAGAGATAATAAAAACATATTTAAATCCAAAACTGTTACCTTCATAGCCAGAGAACGAAAAAAGTGTCGAAAGAATGCCAATCAAACATACATATGGAAATGAAAATCCAGTACCATTGTATGTTGATGTGAAAACATCATGAGCCGTGGCTCGTTCAGGAGCCATAGCAAGAAGAACTACAACAATGATAACTGCTGATCCAAGCTGAAATATAACAGCAAAATTATTAAGCCAGCCTTGCTGATCAATACGCAACGCATTTTGAACAGCCCATACAAAACATATTCCTATACCAATGCCCACTTGAGCACCTGTGCTTAGTGAATCTTTCCCTTCGAGAATAATGGCAGCATTAATAATCGTAGCAAAGCCAGATGCAAATGCAACATCTCCTGCAACATGTTTTAAATCATAAATTGATTGACGATTTGCTTGTTTTCCTACCTGCAAAGTTCCCTATGAAATTGAACCAACCACAAATAAACGAAGCCAACGGCGCATGCTTAGCGGAAACCAACTGACCTGCCCTAGAAGAAGAGAAACATATTTCTATCATCAGTTGGCTGATGTGCAACTCTCAAGAACATACCAATGATATACAGATCCAGCGCTAGGGTATACAGAACATATTTCAGCTAAAGAAAGTCCGATGAGAATAGTAAATATGGCTCCAATAACCCATGCCCATATTGTTACACCTGATCCGCCAGTGTTCAATGAATATGTGAAACCGATTGATATTGATGTGAGAACATTGACAGCAGTGAAACAGAAAGCAAATGACATAAATGGGGAAAAGCCACGGTAGAGCTCTTGCGTGTAACCCATCTCTCGAAGAAGACGTACATCAGGATCTTCAATTTGCACCATGTTTGTTTTCGTGGTCTAGACCAAGTTAAATAATAGCTTAGGAGATGGTGACTCTGTCTCAAAATCTAAAAATTAAGATTTTCCATGGGATCAGTTTAGTGCTATATAATCATTTAGCACTGAATTTCCTTTTGAAAAAAAGAAACTTAATCATTCAAATTTTATTTTACAAGAATTCATTTAAGAACTAGTCACATGATCGAACATGATTCATGACCTAGAAAAGCATTACTTACTCAATACGTCGTACGATGAATCTTACATATGAAAAGCAATATAATATTTACTTTGTCTACTCCATTTTTAGTTTTACTTATGTATTAAAACCTTGATGATCTGGAATATTCTAGCTGTCGTCATATTACGACTGATAATTTCTAATATCATTGTAGAAAATTATAAGTTGCTTCATCAGATCTATGTACTTCTTATTGCTAATACAATCAAGTATGTCCTTTTTCATCGCACATACGACTGTCTATTGTTTGCCCTTGTACGTTGAAGTACTAGCCATAAACAACTTGAAGAAAATAGGGTACCACTTACTCTTTCGAATGGTCTATGATGAAGATAAATTTTCATTCATATTGGCGCTTAAGATTTGCCAAAAAAAAATGTAGTTGTCGCGTAATTGTCAAAGGATGAAAAACGGAATACTTTATTTGCATTGGCAATTAGAATTGTATAGATTTGATGACACAAACTAAAATTTTCTATAATGGTTCTATAGACTATGAGTTGTAGTATGGGGAATACTAGACCGTTCCAGATCATCGAGGATTTTGATGTACACGCAAAACAAAAAATTCTGCTCGCTTCTTGAATCATATAGGCACAACTGTCTTATTGCAAAAAAATAAGTGTAACATAAAAAGTTTTTACTATTTGTTCATTACACATGATAGAAGTTTGCGACATGTTGCAAATTCATGTAGTTTTATACAATTTCCTGTGTTCATAAACTCTTTCTAGGTATATGAACCAAATAAACTGCACAGGCGAAAGGTTTGTTATTCTATGATTGTCTTTAAAATGTACAACGATAAATTCTTTATATAAGGACTTGTTGCGTTCATATATTCAAAAAAGGATTTATGTACTAATGATAAGCGGATAACGAACGTTTATTATTATATACTATTCTTTATAATGATATAAACTTTTTTTGAAGGGGTACTTCGAATAAAAAAAACTCAAGAGACTCAGCTTGTTTAATACGACTGGTGAGTCAGTACAGCTCAAAAGATTTTTTTTTGCATGTGCAAAAAATTAAGCAAAATATTTTCGTTTGGACGTAGATGATGCATCATACACATGCATGGTATCACTCTCCTGTTGTTTTCAATCAAAGAATTTATTTACTCGAAGAAGTCACGATAGAAACTTAATGCTCTGTTAAGAAATTAGAAAAGCTTTTGAAATGATCATGAGTGAGAGGCACATCTAAATCAGTTGAAAGATATTGTAATTATTCTAATAAGACCAATAAAATCAGAGAAAAGTATGATGGACATGCATATAATTCATCAATAATAATTTACTGTTACTCGTTAAAATTGCCTGCGTATTTAATTGACACTAGAGTGTTGAAGTGCTTCTTAATCATTATAAGAATGAAGAATAAACACTAAACGTAGAAAAATACGAATATTTAAAAAAATAAACTTGCTTATATATATAACTTGTAGCACAGTGTTGACTCCTATGATGTCGTTTCGATTTCGACTATGTCCCTAAATCATAATTTTGCAATTGCTTTTATTGTCACTAATAAATGTGTGCAAGCGAGACGACAGTCTTCTGACAAGAGAAAAATAAAAGAAATGAGCGTCATCGATAAAAGCAAAAATACAGAACACGAAAGACTAGTTAATAACACGTGCAATTTACTATTGCTAGGTATGGTCTTCCCTTTTATTTCATACGAATGAAGGTGCACAGAAAAAAACATCAATACGATATTCAATCACAATGAAGTCGCATTTCTTTTCATGCTTTTTTAATCATGTGGAAATTTGCACATGTAAACAATCATAGCCGTCATGTAAATATTGTTGTGAATAGACCGAGTAAATACGACGAAAACAATATGAAAACAAGTTTTCAATGATTCGTAATAAACATCGCTTATATATACTTACTATAGTTTATTTTTCTATAAGCAAAAGAAAGCCGCTGTACACTTTGATAAACGTAAAAGTGTAAGAAAGTGTTCTAGTAAACAAGAAACTTTGCCACAAGTAGTAGAAAATTTTCGATTCGGACTTAGTCTGAGTTTTTCTCAATAAATATTGAAATTTATAAATCCTCTTCAAACAAAATCATCGAATAAAACAAAATGTTACAATAAAAATAGATGCTTCTGTCAGTAATATTGCCAGTCTATTTCAATTTTGATGATGAAGAACAATCTCAGGATTCAGCTTGGCAAATAATTAAACTGAGTGTGAATGTACATGTGACTAATGTTAAAGAGAGTATGTATAATTGTGATTCATGCCATGAATTTTTCGGCATCCTACTGATATTTCCATGATAGACATATGGATGAGTTAGTTGATATTCTACAACATATATAAAATTCAGTCTCGAACCTTGAAGTGTATGACACTCGCATAACGTCAAGAATAGTCAAAAATAATACTCTTTCATAATTTGACGATCATCAGACTTATTGAAGATTTCGAAGAGAACTAATAAATATTAGGTATTGCAGAGCATACATCACTTTACCGATTGTTTTGAGATACTAATGTTTTCTATTGAGCTTTCAAGATTAATTACTCGACGAGAAAAAAAACAGACCTTTAACATATAACCTTGATATTTATAGTCGAATTCAGATAAGTTGAACTATAATATTCTTTCAAGGTTTCGTTCGAGAAAAATAAAATTAGGAAACTTTTGCTGATTTTTTATGCTTTTGGGAACTCGAAATGTAAATTTAGCACCAAAATATTTTTGGTACCTTATCTGTTCTCACAAGGTCTCCAGATATGTAACATTTTTAATCAACGATATTTTTCTTAACGCTCTAGATACACTAGATAATAAAAAGGTCCCAACAGCTTTTTCTACAGGGTCCTGTTACGCTTCTCATTGATTCAACTTTCATTCATATCCTTTCAGTAGCATTTTATTGATATCACGTAGAGATTGAACACAAAATGTATAATATTCCGATTTATGAAAAGGTTCTCTATGAAGTTAGGAAGATCTCAGGCGTCTTTAGCATATCGAATCACAAGAACCTAAGAGTTCAGTAAAAGTTATATCGTTCGCTACACTCAAGTACCGTATTTCTCCAGTGAACTCTGAAAGATAATTGCCCATTTTAGTTACTGCTTCATTAAAGTTTATCAATGATGTTTATGATATTTGAGTTATGGAATACATCGTTTATCTCTTGATGTGCTGAATTACACATCCTCTATTAACTTCCATAACATCTAATCAATTAGGCATGCAAGTACAAGCTAACTTGTACTGGTAAAATACAGCTGTTATTTGTATGCCTGATTCTAACAGGGTATTCTCCGCTTTGTTATTGATATGATAATATTTTTTCTTCCTACTGTTCCTCTATGTGGAAATTACAACGGAGAGAAAGAAGAAGGAATTCGAAGCCAAGATATTTGCGGACAACATTAGAAGAAGATAAATATAAACAAGAAAAAAGAAAGAAAAAAGATAGTCCGATAGCCTCGAACATTTCCACAGTCAGTCAATATATATATAGAAGCAAAGAAGTCGTATCATTCTAACAAGATGATGACTCGCATTTTTCTTCAACTACTCTTATTGGGAAATGCTCTGGTTGTGGTGGCCGGTCTTTTTTTCTCATCAGGACTTAAATCACCCACCGTGTTTGAGATGAAACAAAAGTTACTTACAATAGGTACTTCGTCATACACAATCAAGGACAAGAAGGGCAATCCCGTCTATAAAGTTTGTTTCTGTTTAATTTGTCTGGCAACTATTTTTAGTGTTATTTTTAACCTGTTTAAAATAGGTCGGATTCAAAACACTGGGTCTGGGTAAACATTTGGAATTAACTGATATCAATTCAGGAAAAGAATTATATTCGAGTAAGTAAAAGACTATATTCCACATTTTCCTAACGATCATGTCTGTTATGTCTTCTATTTGTAGTCAAACACATTATCAATCCACTTGGACTCGCCAAATATGAGATTCGTCAAAACAATCAAGTCGTCGCTGATGTGAAGTTAGTTTTTTTAATTTAGCAAAATTGATTTTTAGTCTTTTTGCACCAGACTTTGCCATATTACTATTCTGGTCAATTCAGAATTGAATCTGAGCACATTTCCTAAAAAAAAGGCTTTCAGTCTTAATCTTGAATAACCAAGCTGGTCGGCGCGTCGTCCACATGTAAAATCAAGGCCACTGATGATAGAACACAAAAGACAGAACAAGACATGAAGTGCACTTATACAGATTATGTTGATTTAAATAGTTTTCTTCTATTCTGACACATTATTAGGAGTGCGGCTGTATAAGTGGTGCTTGAAGAAGAATAGACTTTTTTTGAAAACCTTTATTCACCAGAACATCAAGGAAATTGTATAACCAGAAAAGGAGAGAGATAGGAGAGAAAGATACGAGATGAAGAATGGGACATAACATTGCTCTAATATAACTAGAGAAAAAAATTACATATCTGCAAGAGAGGCAGACGACGAGATAATATGATATCACACGGACAGAGAATGCGGTAAAAAATTAGTGATATCGATACAGTGAAGGAAAAAAAGGAAGGACAGAACGCCAGAAAAGTATATGTACTATAACGGAACGAATATAATAATACGTGAAAGTGGAGACTGTAACAGTGGACCTTCTTTCCCCTAAAATACTATATGTCTGCACATGTATAAAAGAAAAAGAAGAAAGAAAGAAAAATGCGCAAGAAAACAGCTGACACTCTATAGAGAAGAGAAAGACAAAAAACAAACGTTTCAGGACATGAACCTTTATGATTGAGTTTAATGATTCTTCATAATAGTGTTCTTGAATATAAGAATAATTTGGTTTATGTTAGAGATGAATTTTCATAATTTCAGGTAGTGATGACTGATTATCTAGTTGATTATTTAGTTATAACTCTATGAATCTTTATAGTACGTACGAGACAAATGCAGAAAAACGTGAACAAAGATGTTGATTGGACTCTTTGTTGATATTTTGGCTCAAAACCACGTGTTTTTGTGTTCGAATATCTGACATTTCTTTATTCTCAACTTATTCTATTCATATCAATCATTCGGTTTTGTTTTCTGCTAAGTCAATTTTTCATATAAACTAAGGGAGATTTCTTGAAATTGCATTTTTATAATTATGACTTCGTTATATCTATTAAGATATTACCCGAATAAATCTAATTGATCATTCTAGTTAAAATTTTCAATGTTTTCATCTTTAAATGTAGCGATTTTGATTCATGACTTATATTTTTAATGATACAACGTATATATTGTAAATTGAAATATTCAAGGGTTGATTCAATTCCAAGAAGCCGCTATACATCTTTGAGCACATCAGAATTATGATGAGATCTATCTTTCTTACTTGTGTCCGTTCATTATAAAAAAGAACTCACTTCAAATTGTAATAATGTATTCATTTGTCCTAACAATTTTCAGTCAACTATAATGACAACTACACTATCTGTAGTCAACTTGTAATTTAATAATAGAACTACGATACATTGCTATATATAAATGAGCAAAAATATTGCTCCTTGTATTATTTTTGTCATCCTTTCTTTGTTTCAGGCGTAAAGTGAAATGGACTGGACTTGGCACCAAATTCAAGGTGACCTCAAAGTTGGGCACGTTCAAAATCTCAGGAAACTTCCGAGCGCAAGATTTCAAAATAAAAAAAGATGGTCAATTGGTTGCCACGGTTTCAAAGAAGTTCTTTTCCTTTCATGACAAGTACGGTGTTAAAATAGAACAAGGTCAAGATGCACCATTTCTTCTGTGCTTGGTCGTCGTGCTCGACGAAGTCACTCATGATTAAACAAACAATAATAGAACAATATTTACGTACATTAACTAATTAAAAGCATGATTGCTCCCTTCGTTAGTTTTGCCTCACATCTATGCATCATTAAAACTGATTCATTTAAACGAAAACTTTCAACCAAACAAATAGAATGAGTCTGCTAAATCGAAATGAGAGTTTCATTTTAAAGTGTATTGAATTTCAGAATAATTCGAAAATACACAATTCTTTATCATTATCCGTCATATGACAAATACAACAATAGTGACATATTGTCATCTAGATGTTATTAAATTAGAAAAAATAATTTTTTATTTAATTTTCCATTAAATGTTAAGGCAATGCTTGTGAAAAATCTTTGAAAACTTTTTTAACTTTTCAGGCAGAAATTCATTGATGTGACTTGGTAAGGACTTTCAAGATGAATATTATGAAAATAAAGAATGTTATCTCTTGCATCGAGAACTGAATGATAAATTAAACTGTCGCCCAGTGCTATTTCTAACACCATTAAGATAAACTGTTGATATATGAACCGGTAGGTAAAGAATATAAGTGTGAAACAAAAGCCCAAAGATTATTTCAGTCAGATAATGTATAACAATGTATAGTAGTGGTTCATTTTTCATCGTGAAAAGTGTATCCGTAAATCAAAACTTATCAATTCATGATCATTTTAAAATTGCCTCGTTGACACTTAGTGCAAATTTTCAAGCACAAGAAATGATCTCCAAGTGACATCGAAAGTCAATAGATTTGATAGAGATTCGATAGACTAAAAAAGGTTTTTCAAAGAGAACGCTAAGTTCAATTGTTCACCGTCATTTCGATTGTTGTAACAATGCATGCATTCAAACCGTTTAAGTTGTTTTTACCAAAAATAAAGAAAATTGCCCTAATCTATTCAACTACATGACGCAGCACTTATCTATCAATAGAAAATTGAATTAAGGAAGGGATACTACAGAATCTGAAAAAACGAGTCAATCAAAAAAAGCCAAACTGAATGAATTTGGGTTTCGGTCGCGTTTCAGTTTTCTTTTAATTTCTGATACGAAAAAAATGAAATTTCGCAACAATATTTTGAAATATGAAAAGATTAGTCTCAATTCAGTTAGATTATAAAGCAACTGAACAACCATCAATCAACAAGGATAGCTGATAGTACACATAACACATCGCTTAACCATTCGATTGAGTCGATTCAGGTCATGTCTTCACAAATGAATACTCCTCAGTTCTCAATGTTGATGAAATTCTTCATGGCTTCATTTTACTAAAATAACATTATTTTCCTTTGTATGACCCATGACTTGTTTGCTCATGTTGTCAGACTTTACTTCTGATAGAAGCATAATACAATAGAGCTAGATTTTTGAAAACAGTATCTTGATCTGTTAAGTAAATGTGCACAATATCTACCTCACTTTTTAATCATATTTAAACATTAGTTTAGTCAATGTAGGGCTATTTCTGCAAGAACAAAGCTAGTCTGAGGGCTGATTTTTCCATAAATCATAGAAATGTCATGACACTTTCGTCGAGCTCAAAATATTGTTTTTTTTGTTCCCTATCGATGTTCATATCTGGTCTTATTGAAATATGATTGACTGGCTTTCTCTGCAATGTTCAAACTGTTTCATCAATTCTAATTCTTCCAAGTCAAGCCTTGCTCAATAGACATTCATCAAATTGTTGTATATGCAGAACAATGAAGATGTAGAATATGTACACAAACACTTTCAACAAGTATTTGCGTGTAGTTGACAACGACATCTTTCTATGTCGATTGTGATGTTTTAAACGAGTGATGTGTACAGGTAAAGTGAGGAACGAAGAAAAACAAAAGTCACATGGCTACTAAATACGATGCATCAACACTCGATCGTTATTTAGACGAAGATTTAACGTTAATAAACAATAAGAATGTGTGGAAAGAATATAAACGTGGCGTACAACATAAAGACGATGTGTGCTATATTTATAAACCCTCGGGTGATTCTATTTGGTGGATTAAATTAGTTGCACATATCGAAAATAGTTCAATGGCAAATATTGATGATCTACTCGATACCAGTCTCAAAGAACGTCATTCGGAATGGCATGAACTTTTTATTGATGGTCGAATAGTGCACAAAAACGAAGATGGTCGAAGTGAAATTTGTTATTTTCAGTAAGATTTATTGAAATATATGTAAAAACGAACTTTATAGGTTATCATGTGGCCTAGATGAAATCAGCCAAATTTAATTTTTGTCTTTTTCCACGTATTCTCATATTTTTGTCCTGATTTGGTAGAATAGTGCAAATAAAAATCGCCAAATCAAGTTTTTCGTTCATTAAAATTGTGCATTTTCTCACTCGTAGCATAAGCTTGTTTCAAAATAGGAATGTAATGGGTCAAAAACTGATTTCATAATATTGAACCTGAAATGACTTATACTTAGCTTATTGTGCTCATTGAGTCGAAAACAAGAACATAGTCATCCTACTAAATATGAATATAGAATGTTTTACTCTTCTACTGCAATTTTCTATATGACGAATCCATTTCAAATGCCCTTGTATAGTCTTATAGAAAACTTTATAATGCATATTTCAATAAATAAATTATTGAGGACAAATGGTTGATATCTGATGAAGAAAAATTGATAATACACTTTAGCTCATTTTCTCTCGGTCATTCGATAAAATAAAAATTTCAATTTGTTAGATATGCATCTCCATCAATTTTGATCGCTCCTCGTGACACATGCTATATCAAAATACGACGAACTCTGCCAAATGGATTTATGCTTAGTTATCGATCGGTCGATCTGCCAGAAGCAAGAGATACGAGCGGTAAATTTGTACGAACTATTTTCAAAGGTGCACATCTTATTGAGCAGACAGATAACAAAGATAGTTTTCGTTACACATATTTACAATATGCTGATGCTGGTGGTCTTATACCAAAGATACTTGCTAATCGACCTCAATGTGATATTATTCTTAAAGAAATTGAAGGAATTCGACGTGCTATGAAAAATCCAATACATTCTAATCGATGATGTAAACATTTTTTTTTTTAATAAAAATTCTTATCAACGCATTGCATATTATTGAATTCATAAGCTCCAAGGCGTTCTTTTTATTAGTTTATATTGTGATGCATTTCTATAACAATTGTTTGCAAATTTTCTTCTTGTTAAACTTTATGCATCGAAAATTCATATTTTTCAATGACTAACCGAACGATTGACAATTGGAAAGTTAGTAGATGTGCATTTGGGCAGTGCAATATGATTTTTACGCATAGAAGTTCAATGTTTGTTTTATCTCATCAGTGACAAAATATTTTGGTCGTTTTATAATATGAGAAAGTATTTTACAACTTTGTTTAGACGTTCTTATCAATGAAACGAAACAAAAATTTCTCTTCAAGCCTTCTCTGTCATCCCCAATGATTTCAAAAAATCTATGATTACGGCGATATAGAATATGTTTCTCAAAATCTCAATTCGAATTCTTACAGATATCATTGTGTATATCAATGCAATGGTGAACAGAACATACTTGTCCTTGATTAAATTTCACAAATTGCGAAATAAGCAGTACCGAATATTTTTTCTTCGAATGGGTGAGCAGGTGTAAGTCAGTAAAACGATAAATAAACATCTTATCTTTACACTCATCCTTATATCCTCAGAGACTTTCAAAACTGGCAAAGGATTTTAGAAATATCACCGGAAATTCAGCAGTCCAATCCAAAGATCAAGTATTCTTATAAAAACAAACAGCTATGATTGCCTTGTTCAATCGTAGCATTTTTCTGCGACTGAAAATTGCTTTTCAGATTAATTGCTATCGGTCAATAATCGATGTGAAGCTAGCACGACGCGACGAGCTAGCACGACGAAGAAAAAAATTTCATTGGATATGAAAATCAACCAATGAAAAAATTACAATAATAAAAAACACCCTTTTGAGGGTTTGCGCAACCATAATGGCAGCACTTAGCAACCAATACAAAATAAATCAGTGTGAAGCTAGCACGACGAAATGAAAACACATAATTTTGAAAAAAAATCCATTTGTGCACCACACGATCCATTGCCCGGACATGAGTTATACATCAACTTGTAGAGAATTTAATACTCTATCAAATGATGTATAACTCATCTTCAGATTCCATTTCCATATCGGTGATACATGGGCATCTTTGGATCCAATAACAAAAAAAAGCCAAAAAAATTTGAAAAAAAAAATTATTTCCTGGGCAAACCATCCATTGCCCGAAAATAAGCTATCCATGATTTTGTAGAGAATTTAATTCTACATCGAATGATGTATAGTTCCTATTAAGAATCAATTTCCTTGCTGGTGATCACGCCCAAATTATGACACGAGCCAAAAAAAAATGGAAAAAAATTTGAAAAAAATTTATCTCCTCAGCAAACGATCCATTGCCCGAAGACAAGCTATACATCATTTTGTAGAGAATTTAATTCTGCATCGAATGATGCGTAGCTTATATTCAGAATCCATTTCCTTGGGGGTGATCACGCCAAAATTATGACATGAGTCATAAAAAAATTGGAAAAAAATTTGAAAAAAATTTGTTTCCTGGGCAAATCATTCATTGCCCGAAAATAAGCAATACATCATTTTGTAGAGAATTTAATTCTGCATCCAATGACGTATAGCTCATATTAAGAATTCATTTCCTTGGGGGTGATCTTCCCCTTATTATGAATTGAGTCATAAAGAGATTCGAAAAAAAATTTGAAAAAACTTTATTTCCTGCGCAAACCATCCATTGTCCGAAGACAAGCTATACATCATCTTGTAAAGAATTTAATTCTGCATCGAATGACGTATAGCTCATATTAAGAATCCATTTCATTGAGACTGATCAGGCCCAAACTATGACATGAGTCATAAAAAAATTGGTTAAGGAGCCACAATCGCGATTTCGACCTTGCTTAAGGGTCTCATCGGGTGGCATCATTCAAATTCACCATAACTCTAAGGGCTATGACAAAAACCGAATGTTCAACTTCTAGATTGTGGCTGTTATTCATTATGATTGTAGCTCATACAGTTAATACCTGTTCTCTTCTAATTTTCTAATTAGGAGTTGAACATTCGGTTTTTGCCATAACTCTTAGAGTTGTGATGAATTTGAATAATGCCACCTGATGAAACCCTTAAGCAAGGTCGAAATCGCGATTGTGGCTCCTTAACCAATTTTTTTATGACTCATGTCATAGTTTGGGCCTGATCACTCCCAAGGAAATGGATTCTGAATATAAGCTACACATCATTCCATGCAGAATTAAATTCTCTACAAGATGATGTATAGCTTATCTTCGGGCAATGGATGGTTTGCCCAGCAAACAAGTTTTTTTCAATTTTTTTTCAAATTTTTTTGTGACTCATGACATAATTTGAGGAACATCAACCCCATGGAAATGGATTCTGAATATAAGCTACACATCATTCGATGTAGAATTAAATTCTCTACAAAATGATGTATAGCTTATCTTCGGGCAATGGATCGATTTCATAAAATTTTTGTTTTTTTTCGAATTTTTTTGATTTTTCTACTGACTGGACCCATATTTGAGGCTGGATGACCCATATCTGAATAGATTCTTAAGATGAGTTGTACATCAATCGATAGAGAATTGAATTCTCTACAAATTGATCTACAAGTCTTCTTCGGGCAATGGATCGTTTTCATAAAATTTTTGTTTTTTTTCGAATTTTTTTGATTTTTCTGCTGACTGGACTCATATTTGAGACTGGATGACGCACATCTGAATAGATTCTTAAGATGAGTTGTACATCAATCGATGGAAAAGTAAATTCTCTACAAATTGATCTACAACTCATCTTCGGGCAATGGATCGATTTCATAAAATTTTTCGTTTTTTTGGAATTTGTTTTGTTTTTTCGACTGACTAGACTCATATTT